ATTCCTCAACTCCAGATTATTATGCAGAGTTGTATTCTTCTATGTATTATCTGCCAAGAGCTGTATTTTAGAGCTGAGTTCTGCATTCCTAAAAATATAGAAAAGGGAACGAAATGATGACATGATGTTGTAGACAGAGAATCAAAAGGAACAGCTGTAATTTTTGAGACCCCAGTGGTAAGAATAAATTAATTAATTAAATAAAAAAGCCACATTTCAGTTATTCTCCCCATCCTCCAATTGTAATATACCCTAGATGGCTAATATACCATTTCACCCCCTTATTATGTAGGGTGCCCACAAGTTTATGCTCCACACCACAGCAATTATGAAAGTTAAAGGGGTGAACAGTAAGAATAAACTGGAATTGTTTTAGGCTTGTATTTCTATTTCTTGTTTCACAATTATGTTCCTTTTAAATATTTTTTACCTCTTAGCTTGGATTTATATATAATAGAAATTACACTAGATTACTCCTTAAATTGGAGTCCTGGTGTGGTGCTGTGTGTTAATGCGCTGGACTGCAAAGTTGCTTTGAACTGCAAGGTCAATGGTTCAAGCGCCTCAGCTGCTCTTCGGAAACCCTATACAGTGTTTTATGGGTCAGAACCAACTCGACGGCACTTAAAACAACAACAACTCTTTAATTTGGAGTTCTGGTGTGGCACTGTGGGTTAATGCAAGTTCAGTTTGAACCTCAAGGACAGAATTCAAGCTCACCAACTGCTCCTCGGAAACCCTATACAGGGTCACTATGAGTAGGAACAGACTCAATGGCACTTCATAACAACAACTCTTTAAACTGGGTTTCAGGTAATTTCCATCATTTTTTAGCTATGTGACTTCAAGATACATGTTGTTGCTGTTAGTTGCCCTCAAGTACAATTTTGACTCATGGCCAACCTATACACAACAGAAAAAACACTGCCTCTCCTGCATCATCCTCCCAATTGTTATTAAATTTGAGCTCATTGCTGCTTCCACCATGTCAATCCATCCTATTCCGGGTCTTCATCTTTTTCACCTACCCTCCACTCTACCAAGCATGATGTCCTGGTTCTTCCTGATAACATACGCAAAGTATGAGAGACAAAGTCTGGCCATTCTGGCTGATAGGGAGCATTCTGGCTGTACTTCTGCCAACACAGATTAGTTTGTTCTTCTGTCAGCCCATGGTGCTTTCAATATTCTTCTCTATCACCATAAGTCAAATGCATCAATTTTTCTACAGTCTTCCTTTTTCATTGTCCAATTTTCACATGCATATGAGGTTATTGAAAATACCATGATTTGGGTCAGGTACACCTTAGTCCTCAAACTAACATCTTTATAACATTTTAAAGAAAACTTTTGCAGCAGTTTTACCTAATGCAATACATCATTTGAATTTTAACTGCTACTTCCAATAGTATTGATTATGGATTCAAGCAAAATGAAGTCTTGGACAACAACTTCAATCTTTTCTGCATTCATCCTGACATTAGTTTTTGTTACAGTTGTGAGGATTTTTATTTTCTTGACATTGGGGTACAATCCATACAGAAGGCTGTAGTCTTTGATCTTCTAAAGTAAGTATTTCAAGTCTCCTTAGCATTTAGCAAGTAGGGTTATATCATCAGCCTATTGCAGGTTGTTAAATTAGTTTTCCTCCAATCCTGATGCCACATGCTTCTTCATATAATCCAGCTTCTGGGATTATTTGTTCAATGCACAGATTGAATCAGTATATTGAAAGGATACAATCCTAGGACATAGTTCCTGATTTTAAGCCATTCAGTGTTTCCTTGTTCTGTTCTAACAACTGCCTCTTGGTCAATGTATCACTTCTAATCTGATACACACCCCTTAAATACTCTCTCAAAGACATCTCCATGTATTATTTTTTTTTTATCCCCATTCCTCATTTCCTTTTTATTTAGGTAGCCACCTGGTAAGAGAAATTTGGTCTTCTTTAAGAAGCTGAGAAAATGGAAATGCTAAGCAATAAAGCACCAGGTTCTCTTTAACAGATGAAAGTAAAGGACATCCGGGACCATCATTGCACAAGCACGTGTGCGTGTGTGTGTGTGTGTGTGTGTATGTGTAATATTGGCCAATTTTTTTTTTTTTTAAATATTTTCTTTTGCTCACTAAACTAGTCCAGCATAGTACAAGGTTAAAACCAACTCACTGGTTCCATGTATAAACATCTTGAAGTGAATGTGCTACTCCAGGTTACATTTGCTCTTCAAAAACTAAAATGAACATGTCACCCATTTGCAGAGCCCTTTCAACAGCAACTATAATGACAATATATTTAAAGCAGTCCTCTTAGTTTATTAGAAGGGAAAATCTTGGGCTCAGGCCTTTGTTTTCTCTCTTTGCAGTTCATTTGTGGTTAGTCTGTGTACTTAGTATTTTATACATCAGCAACAGCTGTATTCCAAAGCTCAGAGGCAAACCTCTCTCAAAATAACTTTGTTACAAAGAGAAAATGGTATTTATGAACTTTGGCAGAAACTGTACTCTTGAGCCATGTTAAATTTTGAAACTTGAATGGAAAAATCCACTGCATGTAGAAGCCAGCCATGCAGGATCTTGAGCTGGGTCTATTGTTAGCAGAAGAAAGACTTGCCAGCAACACAGAGAGCTCTAGGGGGTGTAGGGGGACTCTGAGAGCTTGAGCACATTGTGTCCTGCAGGGATGCTGGACCAAGCCCACTTGGATGAGAACCTAACCACAGCATTACACATGCTCACAAAGAGGCAAAGCAGGAAGCCTGCCATTTGGCAAAGTGTCTTTACATAACCAGAGTCTGGATTTGCATTAGCTTACATAGACAGTTTCACAGATTCTCAAAAATAACTTTATGATACACCCATTACATAATAATGTTTCTGTCATTTGAGAATCCTTTATAGTTTATGGTGAAAAGGGCTGCCTTAGGTCCCATGTGCAATGCCTCATTGCCCCAATGCCTTCACGTTTTATGGTCAGTGTTGCTGTGTTCTCTTGGATCACGGGAGAGGAAAGACCTGGTTCCATCAGTTCTGTTTCCGTATAGCTTGGCCTGACTTGGAGCAACCCTAGACCACAATGATAGATTTCCCTAATTGCAGATTTCAGAAAGAAGAGAGAAGAGTGTCTATTGGAATTCTTCCTTCCTGAAAGCACCTAGATTCATGCAAATGTATCCTTTTCCATCTGTGAGTTCTGTATATAAACAAGGATGCTGGCTCCATAAGTCAGACCTAGAGCTTTATTACTTTAAGTCTTCCAGAAAGGGGTTAACCGAGGTGCCTAGATGAACCACATCTGCATGTACAAACAACAAATAGCAGCTGCTTTTTCCTGGCTGGGGAGTGGGGAGACCTTAAATCTATAGCTCGCAGTTATAAATAAAGATGTTTTATGATGCTTCAGGAAGAATAAAAAGTCAATTTGATCTAAATCTTTCTCTACATTGATAACTAGTATTATGGCCTATTGAGAGGTATTAAAGACTCCTCTAAATTGAAACAAAATCTCTTCAGTCTGGAATAGTGTAAGTATGGTTCTACTATAGAGCAAGTGAATGGAGTAAATAGTAGTTCTGGGTCCTTATAATCAAGGGTCTTGTATGTTTTTTAAAGATCAACTATAGGTTAATTAGACATGGATTCAAGATGTTGGGAAGTGAGCACTCAGGATATGCCTTATTTTATTAGCACAAATATTGGAATATAAGTGACTCTGCACTAAGTTTGTGGAAAAATTTTTATTTCTTCACCAGGGTATTTGCCCTATAATTTATATAAGATTCTGATTTCTGGGGAGTAGTTAATCTTACAGTCCAGGAACAGAGGACCCTAGCACCATCAAGGGAGAAGAACATAAGTAGAATGTGGGACCCTATGCAGAGAAGCAGCGACACCAGAGATGGAGACAGAGATGAGGACATGAAGACAGGGAGCAGCTGAGGACTATAGACTGATGAAAAAAGAAAGGCTGTGTGTTGGCAGCCAGGAGGCAGGCTTGCAGAATTTGGTTGCTTAAATGATTATACATTATATACCAAACAACAACAACAACCAAAAAGAAAAAAACACCAGAGGGAATAGGAGCAAATATTGTTGAATGATGATGCATGGAGGAGATTGTGATCGTTGTAATGAAACTAAATATGATAGGATGAGTACAAAACTGATGTTCTCTCATGTAAACTATCACTCAATTCACAATAAAAGCTTTAAAAAAAAATAATGGATAGCATGGCACTTAACAACAACAACTCATGAAACATAAGAGTTTAGTTGTGTTGTTATTGTTCTAGGTACCATCAAGTTGGTCCCAACTCATAGCAACCTTATTCATCTTAGAGCAAACTATGCACAACAGAATGAAACACTGCCCGGTCCTGCACCAACCTCACAATCATTGCTACATTTAAGCCCATTGCTGCCACCACTGTGCCAATCCATCTAGTTTGGGGTCTTCCTCTTTTTTCGCTGAACCTCTGCTTTACCAAGCATGATGTCCTTCTCTAGAGACTATTCCCTCTTGATAATATACATGTCTGAAGTATGAGAAACTAAGTCTGGTTATCCTGGCTTCTAAGGAGTATTCTGGCTGTACTTCTTGTAACACAGATTTAATTGTTCTTTTGGCTGTCCATGGTACTTTTAATAGTCTCCTCCAACATCATAGTTCAAATGCACCAGTTCTTCTGTGGTCTTCCTTATTCGCTGTCCAGATTTCACATGCATGTGAGGTTATTGAAAATACCATGGTTTGGGTCAGGTGCACCTTAGTTCTCAAACTGACATCTTTGCTCTTCAACACTTTAAAAAGGTCTTGTGTAGCAGATTTGCCCAATGCAATACGTCGTTTGATTTGACTGCTGCTTCCGTGAGTGCTGATGGTTGATCCAAGAAGAATGAAGTCCTTGACAACTTCAATCTTTTCTCCATTTATCATAATGTTATTTACTGAGTTTAATTGTAGTTATTACATGATATTTTTCCTTGTTTTTATTCTGCAGCCTCCACCTCAGATATATGACAAACAGTTGGATGAAAGAGAACACACCATTGAAGAATGGAAAGGTGATTCCACTGCTCACAGTATACTTTTTGCTTTATTAAAACTCAGAAAAATCCAAACAGTTTTCTTCTTTAAAACAATTTACTGATAGATGATTTTCTAATTGTTATATTTTTGGATAGATTTCAAGACTCCTAAAACTTATCTTTTCATACTAATAGCACTATTGCATTTGATCATGAATGGAATGAATGCTTATTAAGTATTTTTAAATAATTCTGCTTATCAAAATACATGTGTTTATCATAGGGAGGGTAAGCTTCAAGATAATTCAAAAGTTTTGTTAAACTTTTGTATGTATTTATGTTAATACATAAAGTTATTGTATAAAATGGATATAATTAAAAATGCATCTGAGATAGTTTTATATACTCATTTACTGGATTTATCAAACTTGAACATTTGCATAGTAAACCTGTATCTAAATGATTTATTTTCTCTTTAAAGTAAGAAAAGAAAAAAATAAATACACAAATTTTTTTTTTTTTTTTTAATTAATGTAAGTGTTGTACCATATGTTCAGAATACATTGAAGGTGAAAAAAAGTAGACGGATAAGTCAAACTTACAAAGAATTATGAAATCATGTAATAACTAAGACAGAATAAATTTAAGTAAAACAGAACAAATTATCAAGCCCAAATGAGGAGGAATATAAAAGTCAGATCTAAGAGGAAGGAACTTCAGAGCTACCTTGAAGGAATTCATAAATGTAAATTGGTAGGTGAAAAACAAATGAAGAAAATATAGTGCTTTTGGTTAATGGGCTGGATTGCAAAGTCCACGTAAACCCAGGAGGCCTGCAGTTCAAGCTCACCAGCTCCTCCTTGGAAACCTTATACAGGCTCGCTATGGGTCAGGACCCAATTCAACGGCACTTTATATAGCATACCAAGAGGAAAACAGGGGTCTTGGTGTGGTACTGTAGGATAAGCATTTGACTGCTGACCATGAGGTTGGGGCACAACAGAATGAAACACTGCCCTATCCTGGGCCAACCTCACAATTGTTGCCATGCTTGAGCCCATTGATGCTGCCACTTTGCCAATCGTCTCACTGGGGGTCTTCCTCTTTCTCTCTGATCCTTCACCCCACCAAACATGATATACTTCTCCAGCAACTGGTCCCTCCTGACAATATGTCCAAAGTATGAAAGACAAAGTTTGGCCATTCTGGTCTTCAAGGAGCACTCTGGCTGCACTTCTTCCAACACAGATCTTTTGGCAGTCCATGGTACTCTCAATATTCTCTTCCAACACCATAACTCAAAAGCATCAATTCTTCTATGGTCTTCCTTATTCACTGTCCAGCTTTCACATGCACATGAGGTTATTGAAAATACCATGGCTTGGGTCAGGCACACCTTAGTTCTCAAACTGACAGCTTTGCTCTTCAACACTTTCAAAAGGTCTTGTGCAGCAGATTTGCCTAATGGAATACGTCGTTGGATTACTTGAAAGATATTTACTTGGATTTCATTAGCTAATGCAAAGGCATTCAGTTTTGTGGAGTTTACAAACTATGGATAACATTGTAAAGACTGAGACTTCAAGAACACTTAATAATGCTCATGAGGAACTTGTATTTAGAACAAGTAGTCATTGTTTGAACACAGCAAGGCAATACTGAATGGCTTAAAATCAGGAAAGCTGTGTGCCAGGGTTTTATCCTTTCAGCATACTTATTCAATCTGTATGTTGAGCAAATAATCTGAGAAGCTAGATTATAAAAAGAAGAATGTGCCATCAGAATTCCGGGAAGACTCATTAACAACCAGTGATATGCAGATGGCACAACCTTGACTGCTGGAATCAAAGAGAACTTGGAATATTTACTGATGAAGACTATGACCTATATATAGCCTTCATTATGAACTTTACCTCAAGGTAAAGAAAAAAATCCTTACAACTAGACCAATAAATAAAATCATGGTCAATTTTTAAAGACTGACATTGTCAAATACTTAATTTTCCTTGGATTAACAATCACTGCTTATGGATACAGCAATTAATAATTCAAGTGATTTATTGCATTAGGCATATCATCTGTAGAAGACATTTTTAACATTTTCTTGTCAGGATTGTGAACCTATGTCTCTTTTTCCTTGGATATGTTATCAGAGTGACTAGTCCTTGGAGAAGAACATTTTACTTGGAAAAGCAGAGAGTCTGAAAAAGAAGAAGATCCTGCCCCAAAAGTGATATTGTAACAGTGGTAACAACAATGGGCTCAAATATAACATCTGTGAGGATGGCCCAGGACTGGACATTATTTCGTTCTATTGTGAAGAGAGTTGGTATATGTCAGAATCAAGTCAATGCTACCTAACAACATGGTGCATCATTTAATAACCACTTTTACAAATCTTTGCCTCACTAGAGTAGATACTAAGGTAATACACAAATTACCTTTACTAAGTAAAACAAAACTCTAAGTTAAAATACAGTGTCCAGTAAGGCATATTTGTGGCATTTTTAAGCAGTAAAACCCTTGTAATATAAAAGTGCATTTGTTGTGTTCTAGATGTGGCACTGTAGGATAAAGCACTGGACCACAAAGTCTGTTTGAACCACAAAGTTGAAGGTTCAAACTCACTAGCTGCTCCTTGGAAACCTTATGGGTCACTATCAGTTAGAACTGACTCAACAACACTTACCAACAAGATCGAAGTCCTGGATGTATTGTTGGTGTCAGAATCCATTTTTTGAGAATGACTTAGGAAACTAGATCCTCTTCATTTCCAATCTCCCTACTAAAAAAAAAAGGATTACATCCTTCCTTTTGTATCCCATTAACACTGCCTGATTTAGGAGAAAGATGAGGCTTTCTGCTTCTGCAAGGATTTAAAGCTTCAGAACCCCTAAAAAAGGGTTGTTATAATCAGAAATCAGTGGCACTTAACAACAACAGCAACCACTACCTGATTAACTGTCAGGGATCTCCCTATTTTAATTTTGCTATTTTATTACTTGGTCATTATTTGTTAGCAGCCCAACTCGTAACCCACTATTGATAAAGATGTTGAAAGGATCTGGCAAATCCTAATGATATCACTGCAATTTTGATTCCTTATTGATATTTCTGTACATTGCTCAACATTGTTTATGACTTTCATCACAACCATCTCTTAGTTTGTTTCTATGGTGGCACTCAGTTAAAATGTGAGAGGTAGGAGAGTAATCCTCATCCTAAGAGACATTATTTTCCAAATCAAAATCACTGTCTTTTATCTAGATTGGTATGTTGCTGCTGCTCCTCAGAAACAGTATACAGGATTGCTGTGAGTTGGAACTGACTCAGCGGCACTTCACAACAAGAAAACAGAGAGTAGCAAGAAGCACAAAGTAGCATAAAAATAATAAATAGATTCCATAAGCCAAGGGGTCATGTTCGAGACGATGAAAAATAAAAGGAGCCCTTATGAATAGTGTTGTTGTTGTTGTTAAGTGCCATTGAGTCAGTTCCAACTCAGTGACCTTGAATAGGGTTTCCAAGGAGCATCTGGTGGGTTTGAGCTGCCGACTTTTCAGTTAGCTGTCCAGTGCTAATCCTACAGTGCCACATTAGGACTCCCTTATAAACAGTAGTTTAACTAAAAGGTGAAAATGGAAAATTCTTGATTTCATCTGATGGGAACAGGAGAACACTCTTTGTGTTCATGAGTAGGTAAGTGATATGATATAATTTGAGAAGGATGTGGACTAATGCATGGAAAAATTGAGAAAGAAATATCTGCAAAGGATGTTATGTAAATCATAAGATATTGCAAAGCAAGAATGCAGGGCTGAATGGTTACTCAGCTAAAGGAAATAAAATAAAAAAAATTGAAGACATCCAAGTATAACTCCAGCCATGAAACAGCTAAAAAGGCATGTCAACTTCAGAACAAATAAAATGAATTATTTTTTTTTTCTTAGTATGTTGAGTTTTGAACAAGTTTACATTTACAAATCTAAGATTGGTATCTGGAAAGAATATGAAGTACCAGATGGGAAATTTTGGTGATTGGTAATACTTTGATGTCATGAGAATATATGCATCTCTTAGGGAGTGAGTATTAATGAAAAATGCATTTTCAAAAACTGAGGCATAGAGTAATGTACTTCCTTGAACAATGCACCAACAGCCAACAATAACAACCCAATAAGAAATAACAAATGTGAAATAATAATAAATGACAAACAGCAAACCCAATAACAAAGGTGAGAAGGGAAGGAGGGGAAGAGAAGTTAGATGAGTGGAAATAGAACACAAAGCATGGCAACAATGAGAATGCTAATACAACATCAAAATTGTAACCAATGTCACAGAACACTTTGTCTAAAAATACTAAAGGGGATCCTAATTTGTTACGTAAACTTTCACGAAAAACACAATACAACAAAAACAAAAAACATAGCATGGCCAATGAACTATAAGAAATAAAATTAAAATGCATCAGGACCCTCCCTTTTAAAAAAAAAATCAGAACAAAATCACAATATATATTCTTTGTTCTTTATATTTATTTAAATGCTTTATTGAGCATCTTTGTACCGGACTCTATGCTAATTGCACAGAAATGAAGAAGAGAAAAGTCACAATTGATCTTGAATTTACTCACCCCCATCAAAATGCTATTTTTGTCATTACTTAATGAATTTCCTTATGGAATAAGGACACACTTGCTTTTTATAACATTGATAACTCTCTCTTACAGAACTTATCTACAAGGAAGTAATGAATTCAGAAGAAAAGACAAAAAATGGTGTAGTAAAAGGACAGCCTTCTCCTTCAGGTACCCACTCTCAGTGAATAAACAATAAATCAATACCCAGGTGTTTATCTTGGCTTTTGAGAAGAAAACTAATAACATTGCTTACAGAGCACATGCACAAATATCACATGACTGTTTCCCTATGATGATTTCAGCTTTGTCCCCTTAGATCTTTACTGTGGCATTCATTGTGATTGCTCTGGTTAACACGACTGTATTAGTTACCTTGTGCTGCTATAATAGAAATACCACATGCACATGGCATACATAAACAAACACACTTATTTTCTCACAGTTTAGAATGCTAGGCATCTGCATTCAGGGTGCCAACTCTAGGGGAAGGCTTTCTCTTTCTGTCAACTTTGGGGGAAAGTCTATTGCTTTGTTCCATGGTGAATTTCATGTGATGTGGCATCTGTCTTCCTCCATCTCTGCTTGCTTCTCTCTGCCTCATCTGCTCTTTTTGTATCTCAGAAGAGATTGAGTCAGACACACCCTAATGAAATATATCCTCATAAACATAATCAATTTCCACATTGGATTGTAAGCACAGTTAGAGGCTTTAGGATTTACAACACACAACTCTATAACAATGACCTAGCACAAACGTTCTTTCAGAACTTTTTTTAAGATAGTAATGAATCCTTATTGTTGTTGTTTCTAAGTGCCCTCAAGTTGGTTCCAACTCATAGTGACCCTGTATAAGGTTTCCAAGGAACAATGGGTGAGTTTGAACCACCAACTTTGTGATTCAAACTGACCTTGAGGTCTAGTATTTTGTCCCACAACGCCACACCAGGACTCCATAGTGAATCCTATAGAAACATTAATATGAGCTGGTTGAAAGGTAAAAATGTTTTGCCAAAATGCAGGGCCACAGGCCCTCTTGGCCACATAAATGCTATTGTTAGGTGCCAACAAGTCAGTGCTATCATGACACTGTGTAGGGTGTCCGAGGCTTCAATTATTATGGGAAGTGAAAGCCTCATCTCTGTCCTGTGAAGCAGCTAGTGGGTTTGAACTGCTGGCCACATGAGTAGCAGTCCAGTGCTTATCCTACAGCGTATCAGTGTTCCCACATATAAATGAGGACGTTAGGAATTCCTCAGCCCAACCTTGTGTTTATTTTCCTTTTTGTTTATTTTCACTGTCCTTCTCCTCTCTGCTCCAACCTGATTTCTATAATATTTAATCTGTGATGATACAAAGATCCACAAATTCTGTTTTCAATACTTTCACACTCTACAAAAATTTTCTTATTCTTACAATTCATTGTGTAAAAACCTTGCAACTAAGAAAGTCATAGTGAAACTCAGGATGATAGACATCAGATAAATTAATCATGAAACAGTTGGATGAGTGATCTGCAATAGGACGCGAGGTTTAAATATTTGGGTAAGGAGCAAAGTTTGGATCTTATCAAATCATGATTCTTCAATCCTTAAAAATCAAAATTCTTACATAGAAAGAGAATGGATACATATAGAAGTTTCTATTTTCTTTTAACTTATTAATGACAAAAACAGCAGAATGGCAAAAGTAAGTCAGTGAAGTTACAACTAATAAGATAGGAATAGTCTGTAGAAAAGGAAAACTGAAATAACATGAGATGCCAATTTGTAAATGTCCTACTAGGCAACAATAAGACCTATCTGTGTGGTTATCTTTTCTACCAAGCTTGGGAAGGGAAAAAAAAAAAAATTATCATTTTTCTTCAAGTTTAAAGGTTGGAAAAAATCTAGGACCTCATCAATTAAGTCAAACAAATCCATGTTCCATTAAGAAAAAAAGTGAGCTTGTCCTTAGGTGGACATTTTAGAAAATGCTGATGCATGGTGTTAATAAGATTTCAGAGTTTCTCTCTCTTTCTGTTTTTTTTGTTTTGTTGTTGTTGTTGTTATAATTTATATATATATATAAAATTCTGCTTAGTAATCTACAGGCAGTCCCAGATTACATATGAGAGCTTTTTCTAACTGTTGTCTTTAAGTCTTTAAGTGGAATTTCAAACAGGTGCATATGGTTACTATTTAGCCTTACTTCAGCGGGAAAAAAAGGGCTCAAAACTGCACGTGTAGCAAGAATTAAAGTGATTGTGATGAAGAATTTGTTTCAAGAAGAGTTTGGTTCAGTCATTTCAACTTGAGGGCAAATTTACATAGCATTCAAGGGCAAATAGGAGTTGCCCATAAATTGGAAGTTTGTGACCCATGTTTGTGACTTCCTGTATAAATAAATTTATAATTCATTCATGCTATGCTAGAACTCCTTGTGTGACATTATAGGATAAGCACTGGGCTTCGAACCACAAGGTCAACTGTTCAAAACCACCAGGCACTCCTCAGAAACTCTATACAAGGATTCACAAAGGTCACTATGAGTTTAAACCAGCTCAACAGTACTTAACAACAACATGATTAGGTGACCAAAGTTTTGACTAAGTGTATCTGTTTAAGTTTGCAAGAAATACATTTAAGGTGGTGAAAGCCAAGGACTAGTTTACATAGCAGGGGTTTTGTTGTTATTGTTGATAACGGTGTTGTTTTATTGTATTTTATTTTATTTTCCTGGATGGACCAGAAAAAGAATCCATTCCACTAAATTACTCAATGATGAATATAATCTAGTGCTAGGGAAAATATGATATTGGGTCAGGAGATACGAGATTTCTGGCAATTCAGATCTAATGTGCTTAAGATAAAACACATTGGCTCCATTTAGATTCCCATCCCATTAGTAGATTACTTATTTCTGTTAATGGTGACTCTCTTTTCTTAACCCAGTAGCCTAAAATCCCAGCTTGAGATTTAGTGTACACATATATTAGGTTTTTGTTTCTGTTTTAGCTTCACTTCCTTTTATACCACATGCCTTCTACAGTGCTATATTACTACTCTTTTTCTTAACTGGATCTCTACCTTTTAGAATGTTGACCATTCTAAAGTGCTGTTTTGTCAAATATCACCTCACCCTGAAAGACTTCCTGTTGGAATAGGAACTCTTCTACCTATGGGCCTATTGTCCTATTACCTTTTACTAATTGTAAGCTCATTGTCAGAAAGGCCTATATATGTTTATTTTTGTATGCCATGCACCATCTGTGCACTGTGAGTTAGACCCTGCACATAATAGTAGCTTGATAAATATTTATTGATTGCTGATCAGACGTGTTTCTTGGAACCACTGCGAAAGACAGAATAGAAGGCAAGAACATAGCTTTAGTACAGTGCAATTTAGTATGTTCTTATGCCACTAAATATTTATTTACACTATTAATCTCCATGAGGGTAAATGAGTCATGTGTCAAGTATATGAATTGTTGTTATTGACATTTGCACATGCTTAAAATAAATGTTGGATGCTTTCAGATGGTTATTTAATTCATCCTTTTGGGGAAATAAATACTCGTGTTATACTTGCATACCTGTTTAGTTTACTGTTCCCAAGATTAATTCTAAAATACAGCTGTTAAACCTTGTATGTGTGAAAGCTAAATTGTTGTTCAGTCATTACAATCCTGTGCATCCTAAACTTTAGTTATTTGGCTTAACTGAATTTAGAATTAAAATGACTGTTGATTCAATATTTTTCTACATGATTTAAAAAAAAAAAAAAACTCTTCACTATTTGATTTTGAAAATTATATGCATACTACATATCATATGGAATCCTGGTGGGACACTGTGGGTTAGTACAATAGACAGCAAGGTTGTTTTGAACAGCAAGGTCGGTGGTTCAAGCTTACAAGCCACTACTCAGAAACCCTATACAGGGTTGCTATAAGTTGGAAACAACTTGATGGCACATAACAACAACAACAACATATTGTATGAAGTCCTGGTGTAGCACTGCAGGTTAATGCACTCAACTTCATGGTCAGTTTAAACTACAAGGTCAGTAATTCAAGTTCACCAGCTGCTCCTCAGAAACCCTATACAGGGTTGCTGTGAGTTGGAACAGACTCGATGGCACTTAATAACAACATTATATATGTTATATATAATATAGTAAATATATACAATAAAATGTATGCATATCTGCATCTATACATGACCAAACATTAGAGGCTGTAAGACAGCCGTGTGCTGGAATAAACGCTACTTGTTCACAAGAGTTCTCCTAGTTCAAGTTCACTGACCTCATGTCAATAACTTCAAATTGGCCATGAAGGAAATATTTACAACATAGGAAGTGGCAGAGTCTACAAATTGGAGTGTTTTTCCGCCCCCCAGAGAGCCAATTGCTAAACTTTTACTAGCACCTCACTTGATGTGTGCATCTGTATGTGCCGTAAACTCTGCTGGAAAGGAATTACTGAGAAAACTTCTAAACAGTCAGCTTTTTTGGCATTCTTCATTATAGTAATCTTTTCTCATTAATATTTGTTTATATTTTACTTTACAAACATCAAGCAAAAAGCAAAGTAATATTAAAATACGGAGTCTTTTAATAATCAGTTGTGGCAATATTGGGAACCCATAAACTATGGAATAAGATTATGCAGTTTCTCAGTGACAGAATGAGTCTGAATTCAAAACCCACATTTTAGTGATATTTTAAAACATATACATAGGTAGTTAAATGTACATTCTCAGGATAATATGTAGGTTTGAAATTTATGGATGGAATTGTATATAAATAAGTAATCTAAACTTCTGATACATTTCTAAATGACTGTACTCTCCTTGACTATCTTATTTTACTTGCATAGTGATTTACTTTCAGGAATAGCATAGCTGTCTGCTTTTGAAGTTGATTTGTAAAGGCTTCTAAGGGAATATCTATCTATGAAAGGAATTAATTTTCCTCTAAAGGCATTTGCTATAGAACATTTGTGCTACAATGCATGTAGAATATCAGTTCAAGAAATTCTCATTCTGTTCACCATCCTCATTCAACCAGAGAAATGAGAAATAAGACTCACATAAGTCATAATGAAAGAGCTCTGGTAGCGCAGCAGTTATGAACAGGACTGCTAATCTCAGGGTCAGCAGTTCGAAACTACCAGCAGTTCCACGGGA